GTAGGGAACGGTGGAGAGTGTACTTATCGCCCACAGTCATTTGGGCACATAAAGGGCAGCCTCCCACCTATTTAACACCACAATCATTTATCAACAAGGTGTGGCAGGGGAACAAGGGGGGGGGGTTTCCCAGAGACAAGGGCAGGGCCATATTAGTACCAGGCCTGAAAGGTGCTCTTGTCACAACTGTGTAGTCACTTAGTACTTGCTTAAACAAGTACTAAATGACTATGTAGTAACCTGCATTGCTGCTCAGTCCCATCACCATACAGTTATTTTTAGCTGCTACTACACAGTAGCAATGAGCTACTGTGCAGTAGCATAGTGTCACCAACATGGTTCATGCCTGGCAACACCACCTTCACATAGCAAGGAGCTATGGTGCAGTAAGTCATTGTTATGGCAATGTAGCATCTCATACAGATGCACCCTGATAGGAAAACACTTTTCACAGAAAAATCATACACTGTCTTACCTCACGGTCCTTGAGCTGAAAGCAAATCTACCTAACACCCTTATAAGATGAATTTGGGAACAGAAATGTATTAGCCTATTGGACACTGAGTACCATGGCTATGAAATACACAATGACTTCATGGTCAATTAAAATATGCCCAATAGTCACTAACTTCTGTGCTTCACAGGTGATGAAGTCTTCTAAACAATCTTGTTCCTCTCTTATCAGCTTTGTACTATATCTGTCCTACCTGTTGGCTACCCACTAATTTTTCCTATATCCTCTTTTTGTTTACATATGGAGTTTCACACAAGCTTTTGTTCCATCTTCTACTTAGCTCTGGTGTGTCTATTTCTCTCCCCAACCCTGAGGAAAGGTATTGTGATAGCCATAGGGAAGCTTTCAGGTATCTCAACCATGAAGTTTGTCCAAAAAAAATATCATCCTGACAAACTTTTGCCTCAATTCTAGCCATTCAGAGTGACCATTCAAATCCTATTATTAAATTCTGTGGGTCAGGTAAAATGCCTTCTCCTCCTAATCCCTCAAGTTCTCATATAGGATATACATTTAGAAGATGTTGAAACAATGAACAAGGTTTCCCAATAACAAAACCTTTAACAGTTGGTTCATATCTAAAATCAGAGAAGAGAAGCATTAACAAGAACACCAAAATAATCCCTTCTGCTTCTGTTAGTGAGGATGCCTGAAGTCAAGTGAATCTTTCTTTGAAGACAAGGAATGGGATATGGAGCATGACACCACCTGTTCTCCTCCCATTTTGGAAAACAAGGAAACATTTCTGTTGGAGCTAATTGAAGATTTAGCTCAGTAGGGCATTGAGATGGCTGCAGAGGGAGTAAGAAACTATTTTACACTCCATAGAATCATTCCAATCTGGACTGCATTTAGGAATCCACCCTGGGGCTGAATATTCATAGGAAATAGAAAGGAACACCTCAAACCCCAGTTCAGACACCCTGAAGAGATTAATGAAAAATGTCAGCATGAATAGGAACAATTGCAATTACCATGGGCAACCATCTTGTGTTTTCCAAAAGGAATAACTCAATTTGCAAACAAAAATTCACATTCATCAACATAGGGTGCTCTTTCAAGCAACCATGCACTATGAGAAACAGAAGATGGAGAAACTTTTTGATCACTGAGAATATTGTCATGAATGACAACCTAGAATCACCAGCCTCCTTTGCAAAATTGCCCCAGCATCAGTTGAAGTGTTTGGCTGAAAATAGCATGTCAATTAAATCACAAGTTTAAGATGTTTTCAGGTATATAATGCATAGAATAGTATTGTGCATTTCCATGTTGAGAACAGTTTATGTAAAATAATACCTCCACCTGAAGCAGGAGGTACATGGTCCCACTAGGGGGAATGCCTTCCTGGACCTGGTATTGGCAACGGGGGATGACATGGTAGGGGACCTACAGATCGGTGGTCACCTGGTGGACAGTGATCACCAAATAATAGAATTCATCATAAGACATCGAGTGGGTAAGGTAACTAGTAGGGTGAAAGTGCTAGACTTTAGGAAAGCTGATTTCAATGAACTCAGGCGATTAGTCAAGGACGCACTGCAGAGTAGGAGTTTTGAAGAGATGGGAGCCCAGGAAGGGTGGCTGTGCCTTAAGGAAATGATCCTTCAAGCAAAGAGGGAGACGATCCCGATGTGAGGAAAAGGAGGGAAAGGGGCCAGAAAGCTTCCCTGGCTGACCAGAGAAATCCAGGGCAGCCTGCGGACTAAAAGGGAAGCATATAAAAAGTGGAAACGGGGAGAGATTACCAAAGAGAAGTATACCTCATCTGCTCGCACTTGTAGGGAGGCAGCTGGACGGGCCAAACCTACCATGGAGCTGAGGATGGCATCCCAAGTAAAGGATAACAAGAAATTGTTTTTTAGATATATAGGGAGTAAAAGGAAGGCCCAGGGAGGAATAGGACCCCTACAAGATGGGCAATTAGTGACGGACAGGGGGGACAAGGCTGAACTCTTCAATGAGTTCTTTGCCTCAGTGTTCCTAAGCAAGGGGCAAAACAAGTCTCTCACTGGGATTGTGGAGAGGCAGCAGCAGGGTGCCAAACTACCATGCGTAGACCCTGAGATGGTGCAGAGTCACTTGGAGG